CCTCAGAGCCCCCGGCGCTCTCGCCCAGCCCCAGCCCCAGCCCCAGCCCCCAGGCCGTGTGCTGGCCCAGCGGCTGGCATTAGCTCCGCCCACCCTGCCTTCCTGTTTTCATATGCAATATCAACCACGGACCCAGGCGGTGGCTGCCTTCCAGAAAACGCTTCCGCCCAGCCAGATGTACCCCAGTATTGGCTGTCCCCTCCTGGGACAGCCCCTCCAGGGGCCCCTCTATCTGCCGTTTCCCTTTCTACCAGGATGGGGGAAATGAAAGGAAATCCCAAAAACACAACAAAAAACACAGAATAGGCGATTATTTATTTGTTTTTAATTTATTTTGTCATATTTTTGTAAAACGGCAGAAATGCAATAAAAAGTATATTTCGACAGTGCCCAAGGATGTAGCAGTGGAAAGGGGACTCAAGGGGCCCAATGACTTGAGGTTGGTGCCAGCTCTCTGGGGGCCTGGCAGGCCCAGGGTGGGTTCCCCTCCTGTCTGTCCTGTGACCCTTGAGGAGCTCCTCCTAAGAACTAGGTCTCCAGGCCATGGATGGAAAACTCCAGACTGTGCTGCCTCTGAAACGGCCCAGATTTGAGGGCCAACTCCAGGCCCAGGGGCCCCTGGGAGGAGCTATAGAGCCTCAGGCCCTGTCTTCAACCTCCAAGAGAAAGGAAGAAATCTTAAAGTGTTGACAGGACTCAGCAGTTTGGGCCTCAGTCCTGCAGGGCCGCACTTTCTGGCACATCTACTTCCCAGGTCACCATCTTAAGAGTCAGGGGTGGTATGGAAGACCTGGGGTGTGGAAATCAGAAGGCACCTGGTGCCTGAGTCATGGTGTTGAGGGGATGGCATGTTTGGTGGTGGCACTGGGGAACTGCTGGATGCCCTACTGTGGGACAGCTGTCAGACCCGAGTCACTGGGACTCTTCACTGTGTGATCAGGGATAGACGTGGCCTCTTCCGCTCTTAGGCATATCCACATCCAAAGGCTAGAACCTGATGGGCCCTACCCCAGGGCGGGGAGCCTGGGGGGAGCCAGTGTGAGGAACGGGCACTTTGAGGGGGTGCTGTGAAAGAAGTCAGAGTTCACTGGAGGCAGGACAGCAGCCTGTGCAAAGGCACAGAGGTGTGGGAAGGCAGAGTTTGGTGATTGGGGGAGCAGAGTAAGGGGAGCCCCAGAGACAGAAGGGGTGGGTGGAGGCCATTTGAGGGCCCTGTGCTAGGAGGCCACAGGGAAGCTGTGGGACCCCTGTCTACATCGTGGATGGCACTGGCAAGACAGAACCCAGCCCCTCAAAGGGGGAACTAGAGCCAGGGAGGTGTGAGTGAGTCTCCGGGAAGGACAGGCTACAGCTGGCTCCCACTCAGCCCCATGGCCTTTGAAGCTGAAGTCCTGCCCTCAACTCAGCCACCAACAAATGGTGATGCCACACGCCTGCCCAGGGTCAGGCCAAGCCCTGGGACTGGGGGATTCCAAGCCAGTCTGCGAGCCTCTAGGGACTTAGCCCTCCCAGGCACAACCACAGTCAAGCTTG